GACAGACAGACAGAGACAGAGACAGAGACGAGAGAAAGAGAACGAGAGAACGAGAAGAACGAGAGAACGAGAGAGAACGACGAGAGAGACTAAAACAACTATGCATTATGTTGCAATCATTAGCTGGACCTTGACGACTTCACTGACACTGACGTCGGCATCGGCCCAGAAGCTCTGTGTTCGGACTAACAAGCTCATGTGTTCGGACTAACAAGCTCAGCCAAGCTTATCGCGAACAAAGACAGTTTGACAGACTCCGACAGATTGACGACACGCATAAGCTGCCGTTCACACTTGAGAGAGAAAAAAATAAGAATCACTCTCGCATACGCAGTCTCTCTCTTTCTTCTTTATCTCTCTCTCTTTGTCTTTCTCTTCTCTCTTTCTCTCTGTCTTCTCTGTCTCTGTCTCTGTCTCTGTCTCTGTCTCTGTCTCTGTCCCCTCTCCCTCTCTCTCCTCTCTCTTGCCTCTCCCTCTCTCTCTTCTCCTCTCTCCCCTCCTCCTTCTCTCTCTCTCTTCTCTCTCTCTCTCTCTCTCTCTCTCTCTCTCCTCTCCTCTCTCTCTTTCTCTCTCTCTCTCTCTCTCTCTCTCTCTCTCTCTCTCTCTCTCTCTCTCTTCTCTCTCTCTCCGTCTCTCTTCTCTCTATCTCTCTCTTTCTCCTCCTCTTTCTCTCTCTCTCTCTCTTTCTCTCTCTCTTTCTCTCTCTCTCTCTCTCTCTCTCTCTCTCTCTCTCTCTCTCTCCCTCCCTCCCTTCCCTCCCTCCCCTCCCTCCCTCTCTCTCTCTCTCTCTCTCTCTTCTCTCTCTCTCTCTCTCTCTCTCTCTCTCTCTCCTCCCCTCCCCCTCCCTCTCCCTCCCTCCTCCCTCCTCCTCTCCTCCCTCCCTCTCTCTCTCACCTTATTTGTTGAAGCATAATATCCCTTTAACCTCCCCCATTAACTCATTTTAGTTTATTTATTCTTCGTCGTCAACTGCAGCCTTCGTTAATGTTGATAGAAATCATTGGTACTATAGCATTCCTTAGCACTACTATTACTACCATGACTACTATTGCCACCACCACCATCATTACTACTACTGCTTGTACTACTACTGTTTCTAGTACTGCTATTATTACTACTACTACATCTACTATGACTACTACTACCACCACCACCATCATTACTACTACTGCTTGTACTACTACTGTTACTAGTACTGCTATTATTACTACTACTACATCTACTATGACTACTACTACCACCACCACCATCATTACTACTACTGCTTGTACTACTACTATTTCTAGTACTGCTATTATTACTATTACTACTACTACATCTACTATGACTACTACTACTACCATCACATCATTACTACTACTGCTAGTATTACTACTATTTCTAGTACTACTACTACTACTATTACTATTACTACAATTACTACCATTGCTGCTACTAGTACTTTACTACCACTACCATTACTATTATGACTATCTTTACTACTACTAGTACTACTACAACTGATAGCAGTATCATTACTACTACTACAATTTCTACTATAAGTACTACACAACTGTGACTACAATTAATAATACTATTACTGCTACTACTATAACTACTTTCCTACTACTACTTCTACTACTGCTACTTCTGTTACTACAATTACTACTAGTTCTACTACTACTACTGCTGGTAATATAGTGATTACTACTACTACGACTACTACTATTACCACTACCTACTACTACTATTGCAACTGCTTTTAGTACTAATATTACTGCTACACAAAAACAATTGCTACTGTAGTTGCTACTCCTAGTGTTACTACTGTAAATATTACTACTACTACTATTACTACTACTATTACTGCTACTGCTATTTCTACAACTATTATTACTACTACTGCTACTACTATTACTATCACCATTACTACTACTACTGCTGCTGCTATTACTACTACCACTACTACTATTGCTACTACTACTACTACTACTACTACTACTGATACTACTACTGATACTACTATTACTACTACTACTGCTGCTGCTATTATTACTAATGCTACAATTATTACTTCTACTACAACTACTACTTTTGCTGCTACTACTACTACTTTTGCTGCTACTACTACTACTATACTACTGTTACTGTTGCTACCTTTACTGCAACTACTCCTACAACTACTGCTACACGTAACGATAAGCATTGACCCCACTGGATATAACTGCTCAGACAAGACACACACACACACACACATTGTATATAATTGCTTGCTCTCAGACACACACACACACCACACACACACACACACACACACACACACACACACACACACACACACACACACACACACACACACACACACACTCAACAAAACACACACACCACACACACACACACACACACACACCACACACACACACACACACACACACACACACACACACAGTCACTCATGCACTCACAAAGACACACAGTGGTATTTCAGATCGAATTATAAAATTGCATAAATAATAACTTTTAAAAAATTGTTAGTGTCTTACAACATCAAAAGTCATTAAGTCAAGATGTAAAACCTGCTGATAATGAAGTCTACCATTTCTCATTCAGAAAGTTAATAAATAAACAGTGACTTTGATTATAACAAGAGACCGTTACACAAGGCCAATTAGCATAGATTTTTAAAAATATCGTCATTCAAATGAGAGAGAGAGAGAGAGAGAGAGAGAGAGAGAGAGAGAGAGAGAGAGAGAGAGAGAGAGAGAGAGAGAGAGAGAGAGAGAGAGAGAGAGAGAGAGAGAGAGAGGAGAGAGAAGAGAGAGAAACAGAAGGAAAGAGAGATAAATAGATTAGAGAGGGAGGGAGAGGAAGAGAGAGAGGGGGGCAGGAGAGAGAAGGAGAGAGAGGAGATAGAGAGAGAGAGGGGGGGGGGTCTATAGAGTCCTGATGAAGATTTTGAGAGATCTCTCTCTCTCTCTCTCTCTCTCTCTCTCATCTCTCGGTCCCCCCTCCTCTCTCTACCTCTCTCTCTCTCTCTCTCTCTCTCTCTCTCTCTCTCTCTCTCTCTCTCTCTCTCTCTCTCTCTCTCTCTCTCTCTCTCTCTCTCTCTCATCTCTCTCTCTCTCTCTCTCTCTCTCTCTCTCTTCTCTCTCTCTCTCTCTCTCTCTCTCTCTCTCTCTCTCTCTCTCTCTCTCACACACACACACACACACACACACAACACACACACACACACACACACACACACACACACACACACACACACACACACACACACACACACACACGCACACACAACGAATAGAAAGAGATACAGATCGAAAGAAAACAAAAAATAACCAAAGCAAACAAAAAACAAATTGGTCTAGGTCACTCGGTGCAGGATCCTCAAGGGGCCAGA